AAACACACACACAAAATATGTGTGTGTATATATATATATATATATATATATATATATATATATATATATATATATATATATATATATATATAAATTCCCCTCTCGGGTCCTCTCCCAGAGGTGTGCGAGCTATATATAATGTAATAAATATTAAATTAGATAAATTAAATAAAAACAGCACTTTGTGTTTCGGAAAAGCGTGACCTAAGTGAATTATTACACTGCTATGATAATTTCTCATTTAAGGACCAGGGCTTTATAAGGATTCATAATATACATTATTATCTGTAATAAATTCAACTATGTAGAAAGATGTCAGCCTGGTGCTATGCAGAAGTGCGAGCACAGCTCGGTAGCATAGCTTACTCTCGAGAGCCCTGCTGATGCTGAGTTAGGTGTGCTGAGGATCGCTAGCTTGTGATGATAGTTGCGCAATTAAATCGATTGACATTAATAACGATAACATAGAGATAAATAGCTAATATATTAGATATTAGCTATTTAGCTATTAGCTACTACCGCTCCTCTGCCGCAGCCAGAAGCCGGGCTGAGGTCTAAACTGTCGGTGCTTCGTCAAAGCTACAGCGCTGTTGGAATGGGTTAATATGATTGGCTGAAAAATAAGTTACCCCAACGTGGGGCTCTATTCATATGATTGGGTGAAACAAGGAAGCTATCTGATTGGTTGTTGATCACCCAATCAGATAGACTATGATTAAACTTTACCTTTAATAACATAAAGTTACCTAATTTTTAAAGTGCAATCAGTAATACTTTTATAACAAATTTATATCAGTAATGATTTCTTGGTTAATGTCAAGTTGTCATAACAAAGACATTTTGAATAATGTCAACTTTGTATTAAAAGTGTCATAATTTACCGAATGACACTTTATGACAACATTCATAAATATTCATGAAGGCTTATTCATGTTCATGACATGTGTTATGTCATGTTAATGAAAGTGTCATGACAGTCTTATTCACACCCTTCAAATAAAGTGTTACCGTTATTTTTTGTTAATGCTGGTGGTGCTCACAATGATTTCTACCAGGGGATTGTGTTGCCCTCCCAGTCCAGAAGGAGGCCAGAGTGTTTGTTGCTCAGTGTTGACATGACACGCAGCATTCCAGCCACACTGTCCTGGGGCATCAGAGGAGCCTTTAGGAAAAAACAGAAACAAAAACAACACATAATTCAGGTATGGACGTGTCTTATGAACCAGGTTGCTGCTTTGTCCATCTCAGTCACTTTGCCACTGTGACCTTGGACAAGACACTTTACTTGCTTTTCCTCCTCAAGGTCATCAGAGGACCCTGAACCCTAAAGGCAGCCTCACTTCTGACAGTATGTGGCAACAATGTAGCTCATCACCATGAGTGTGTGAATGACTGACTGTGGTGTAAAGTGCTTTTGAGTCCTTGGACTTGATACACATAAATTCAATTCAGTTCAAAAATACTTTATTAATCTCAAAGGGAAATTTAATTATATTGAAAATTTAATTTAATACATTTTTAATTTTAAATTAGTTAATTAAAATTAATTAATTAAAATTAATTAAAATTAGTTAAAATTAATTAATCATTTAACTCAACTAGATCAAGGCATGACCCTATAAAGTTACTAGAGGGAAATAAAAATAATCACTTTTTTTATTGAAAACTGTACATATTTTTCTTGGAAAATAAAAGTACAATCCAAACCAGTCATGATGACATCCATATGCATATAGTGTTTAATAAAATGATAAACAGAGAGTATGTGAAGCTATTTGCTCTTCTTTCATACCAACCAATCAAAGCACTTTACACCAGAGCCATATCCACCCAGCCAACCTCACAAACATTTCAGCACCGATCAGAAGGTAGCCTGGGTTAGGTGCCTTGCCCAGGGGCAGTTCAGCATGTGAACTAAGAAAGCTGGAGTTGAACCCAAAACATACAGATTGCAAAATGACCATTGTACGCATTGAACAAAGTTGTTTTACATGACATAAAGCAACTATAAAGTGTAATGGAGGCTGACCTGTTGTCCACCCATCTCCGTTCGGACCCAGCCTGGGTGGATGGCTGTCACCAGGATGCCTTGGTGCTTGAAATCTTCAGCTTGACAGCAAGTCAGCATGTTGAGGGCTGCCTGTGACATCACAACAGTCATATTGTCTTTGAAAAGGCAATATGACTGAGCATCTCCACGTTTTGTTATGTTATAAATGTAACAAGTTTCTCCCATTCTTGAATTCCTTTATTTTGTCCCTAAATGTAATTAATGTAATTGAAAAAAAAAAAACCAGGCAAAGACAACTTGAGAAAATAAAAAAGCAGTTTTCATTGTCATGGAAAATTGATACAAATGTTATCAATTTAACCAGCCTCACAACCCCACTAGAGATAAGTGTGTAAGATAATGGAAGGATGGATAGAAGCTGATATGTACATCTATTTTGTTTTCTTATAGACGTGTCTGTTTAATTTCCTTTAATCTGCTCATGCATGCAAGCATGAAGTCCAGAACAAAGTGCAAGAAACAGGTGCAGCCGCACAATGTAGGTGAAATCACAGAGTAGAAAGTATTTGAGTTGGTAGGACTCTATATCTATATGCTGAGCTGCTGTCCTTTCACTGACAGGAGGTAAGTCCCTCTGCGTTGCTCGAGCAAGATGTAGTGAAGTGTTTAAAAAGCAGTATGCAACTTGTATCAGGGCTCTGACTAGATCAGTGACAGCCTTCAAATAAAGCATCTAAAGACAAAGGTCAACCTTTCTCTAAGTTACTGAATACTTTCCATTTTGATGAAAAATTTCTACCATATTATTAAGGGAAAAAAAATCTATCTAAACAACCATGGCACTGTGTCAAAAAGTAATTGACTCCCTTGCTAAATCATGTATGAATTTGAATTCTGAAAAAAGCTGAGTATATAATGTTTGGTATATACAACACATCTTGAGTATTAGTGATTTTGTAGAATTAAGAAATCATAAATAGAACTTTTCTGGCATAATATAAAAAGATCTCAATGAGCAACACATCATCGACAGTTATCAGCCAGGATTAGTTACAGAGCTGTAAGGATGTCAGACTACAGGGAACCAAAGTGAGAGTCATTGCCTTGCTGGTCCTGTATGGGTACATCTGGGCCATCTGGAAGGTTTCGGGACACTTCTTCACAGATGCGAGAACAGTGGACATGTTGATGATGGCCGACCTTCTGCAGGACATATCATCATCTGATAGGAGACCACAGAAAATAAAAACATGGTTCAAACCTTAAAATAAGAATAAGTGGTTCTCCAGATGTCTGTTCTCGAGTTCCTAATTCATGTATGCAAATACTAAAAGTTACTACCTTCATCCGTTGTGTTTGCAGCTTTCTGGAGGAGTGGAAGAAACATCTGGAAGGATGGAGGTGACAGAGTGCAGTCATGTTAGGGTAAAACTGAGGGACACCAGTTTGTTATCACCTTTAAGATCTAAATCTGGGCAGAATAACTGTTCAACTGTATTATTATTATTTTGCCTTGTATTTTTGTGCAATTTGAACGATATACAGTTGAAACTAGATATTTACTAGAGAGAGATAAAAAAGAGAGACAGAGAAACACACAGTGAGAGAGAAAGAACAAAAAGAGAGAGTCCCGGCCAGAGGACAGATCTTCTCTCTACTGGAGATATCAGACACCCTGCAGAGGAAACCCATTTCAGCTTATATCTGTGATCTTGTTCTTTCTGACTCTACCCATCCATCCCATCCTCCATATTGATCTCCTGCACCATTTTTCCCTCGTTTATGAACAAGAGCCTACTAAATAAAATATGTAACTAAATCACAGTTACTTTTAAAATGACTGATAAAGAAGTATGTCTACAAATGTAGATTTTGAAACTATTCTATTTCTGCTTTTTTGGAATCAAGAGCAGCGCTTAGGCCGACTGGTTACATTTTCAGATTTTATCACGAATGATTAGATTCTGGTTGCTTCTTGAACTACGTGAATAAGGAATAATAGTGAGTGTGCATGTGGGTGTGGGTGTGTGCGTGTGTCTCTGGCCTGCCCTGTGATACCTGTCCATCCATCACAGGGCATCATGTGGCCTAACTCTCCCTTCCTTCTAGCTGAAGATAAGAAGAGAGATAGTGTACTAAGTATGTTAAATTTTAAAATACTTTAGCATACTTTCAAGTACACTTAGGATTAACATACTTAAAGTGTGCTTTTTTGGAACAACTTTTTTGTGCTTAGTGTATTTTAATAGTATTTAAATTGTAGTAATGTACAATTTAAAGTATACTAAGCATACTTCAACGTACTTTTATGGAACAACTTAAAATACACTTAAGTATGCTGCCTTTTATGTATTAAAACATGCTTGATTAGTATATTTTGAGTGTACTATTTTAGTGCTTGAATTATATTTAAAACATATGTAAAATATATTTTAAGTATACTGGAAATACATATTTAATATTTTATTAATGTGATTACAGTATGCTACAAATACACTTTTGGTTTATTAGAATTGCTAATGAAGAACACTTTTTAGTTACTTAATGTCTTATTATTCTGCTTTGCCACTTTCTACATTACATGCTTCATACACACATCAGTACTGCCAACACATCAGGCTACCAGAACACAGAAGGATCCATTACAACACACTTTACAGGTGAAACTAATTACATTGTGCTTTCAATATATTACCATTTTGGCAACACTTTATTTGATGGAGTGTGCATAAGACTGACATGACACTGTCATAAACATAACATAACACCTGTCATCCAACTTTTAAAGCAAATTCTCATTAAATTTGTCAAATTGTCATTTTTTTACTGAATGACACTTCATGACACTGTTGGTATGTTTCTAACAGATGTTATGTCATGTTTATGACAGTATCATATCAATCTTATGCACACCCCGTCAAATAAAATGTTACCCACATTTTTTCAAGAGCCAATATACTATAACAGAATTGTACAAATTGTCAATACATTCAAAGTTTACAGTCAACATGCTCATGAAAATCACCACAATAAAACTATAGGTACATGTTAGAGTAAATGTGAAAAATGTTTCACCAAGGAAAGAGTATTGTTTTGATACAATGTCACAGTATTCCAGACAAACCGACATTTCTCCTTCCTAAGAACAGTGAGGATCAATGACAAAACATTCCCATTCACCGCACCACTGCACTTTACAGAAACCTACAAAAAAGAACAATAGAGCAATTAAACAGCAAAAAGCATTTGTATTTTGAAGAGTACAGAAAAATAGCAAAGAAAAAAATAAGACAATTTTCAGCCGTTGTGGACTCGCTACGTACGTGACATAATCAGAAATGATGACGATTGGGAGCGGATGCCTCGGGTGGAAACACTTCTGGATGTTCTCTTTGCCTGTTTATGTTAGAAGTAGAAAAAAATAGTCAGCAATGTCATAGAATCAGTTGATGTTGGCATCAACTATAAAGCTGTTTTAAGTGTGGACTTAAAGAAGACAAACTACCTTAACATCTTTCCATCCATGATCTGAACACACTGATCCTTGCAGGGTGGTGAGGGGGGCTGGTGGTGCCCATCTCCACCAGTCATCACATGAGAGGCAGGGTTCACCCTGGACAGGTCACCAGTCCATCACAGGGGCCTGAAAGCCAACAACAAATAAAATGTATGAAAGAGAAACATTAGATTAACAAGGGGACAAATTCTGTCCAGTTATCTTTAAATCAAATCATGTTTATTAAGCACTTGGTGTTGGTAACACACCAGTTTTTGCTGTTGAAAATGTAGCTAGCTGGTCAGTTAAAAAAAAAAAAAATCCTTCCACCAGGAAGACAATGTGGAGGTTCATCCTCAGAGCTGCTTGTTGATCTGGTGGAGCCAGAGCTTCTTCTGAGACAGAAAAGTCTTTAAGTTTTCTAACACCTGATCTCTCTGGCTTCATCTTTCATCTTCATTTACTTAGACTGCAAATATATGTTGAAGATTAAAACATTGATGAACAAGTTATAACAACAACCTCACAATATCAAAGTCTCTCTGTCATACGGAGACAGAGAGACTTTGAAACCAGGTTAAGTTTATGAAGAAAAGTATATTAAGTCGCAACAAACAGAGCCTCCATGCAGTTATAACATGAAGCTGAATGATTGTTATAGTAATAATCATACAAGTCACGATAAAATTGATAAAATAATTATTTCTGAAACCAACGTAAGTTATATATCTTTACTGCACTGTATGTAATTAAACAAAGATAATTAATAAGAAAACTTACCACCAACTAGCAACACGTTAGCATCCTTCGTCCCTTCGGGCTCCTTTTGTGACACACATTTCATTTCCATCGGTTGTTGTCCAGTTGTGTTGTCGTCTAACTCGGACTAGGACATCACCAGTTTGAATTGACCAAAATTAGTAATTATTATCAAGGCTCTCTCTACTTTTAAAGCGATATTATGAGAGTAAAAATGGCGAATTTGAACAGTGTCTTTTTTTTTTATATACAACTTTATTTCAAACAAATAACATTAACATACATATGGACGTTAACTCAGTGACAAATATTAAATTAAAGCTCTGCGGAGCCTCAAGCGGCCCTCGCAGCCAAGCGCCGCTCAAGCCTATAGCCACCGCGTCTGTTCCAGCACCGCCTCCCCTCAGCACCTCCTACCCCCAGCCACCGCCTCCCCTCAGCACCGCCTCCCGCCGGCCACCGCCGACGCTCGCGCGCCGTCCTCCACGCGATCCGCTTTGATGTCTTCGGCAGCGTTCCCTGGCGATCCACCCAAAATCTGGAGCAGATTGGGCCATGTGGCAAGGAGATACAGCTGTTTGATTAACCTAGGGGGCGCAGTGGAGTGAAATTGCAATTAAACTCTATTGGGCTCCTTAGAGGTTCACAAGTGTCACTCATAAAAAGTCTGGTGCAAATTGGATGATGCGTTTGTGAATAAGAGACGATCGTATGCATATGGCGAGGGACAGCCATTTT